AAAAAAAAAAAAAGCCGAGACCGGTTTGGCTCAATGGATAGAGCATTGGCTTGGGGACTGAAGGGTCCCGGGTTCGATTCCGGTCAAGGACATGTACATTGATTGTGGGCACATCCCCGGTAGGGGGTGTGCAAGAGGCAGCTGATCGATGACTCTCTCTCATTGATGTTTCTAACTCTCTATCTCTCTCCCTCCCTTCTCTGTACAAAATCAATAAAATATATTAAAAAAATAAAAATAAAAAAGAGAGAGAGATGAAGGTTAGGCTGCCCAGTGGCCCTCAGGATATGATCCCTGTCTGACGGGTCACCATGGTCCAGGTAGAAGCTGTGGGGGGATGAGTCTCTGGGCATCCAGGTGGGGAGAGGCAGGGATGTCAGGGATGGGAGGAACTTAGGAAGGGCACGGTGACACGCTTGTCCCTAGAGGTGTCCACGTGGGAGGGATAAGACCAACGAGGAGGCCCCAGGGACCCCGGCCCTCAGAGACTCTGGGTGCTGGACGTGGTCTCGGCATTGGCGAAGCCGGAGTGACTCAGGCTACCACCCTAGGGAGAGGGTTTTCCAGATGACCTTGGGCCAGGGACCCCTCTCTGAGCCTCAGTCTCCTCTCCTGGAAGGTCAGGATGGGAAGCCTATCTCCTTGGTGGGGTCCGTGTAGAGCAAGCATGTTACACTCGTGGCCGGATGGTATAAACGAGGCGTGCGGCCCGGCCGGCCGTGAGTCTGACATGCTTGGAGAGCCCTGAGGGGGTGCTGGCCAGAAGGCACTTAGCATGCGCCAACACCTAGTAAGTGCGCGGTGAATGCTGGCTCACGGGGACGTGGGACCCCCGCCCCCCTGCCAGGAGCCCGGTGGGCTTCCTGGTACCAAGTGGGCATCTGAGCTGAGTCCAAGGAGGCACAGCAAACAGGGAGAGCTCCCGAGAGCCCCCTCCCCACTCTTTTTTTTTTTTTTTAAATATATTTTATTGATTTTGTACAGAGAGGAAGAGAGAGGGATAGAGAGTTAGAAACATCGATGAGAGAGAGTCATCGATCAGCTGCCTCTTGCACATCCCCTATTGGGGATGTGCCCACAACTAAGGTACATGCCCTTGACCGGAATCGAACCCGGGACCTTTCAGTCCGCAGGCTGACGCTCTATCCACTGAGCCAAACCGGTTTCGGCTCCCCTCCCCACTCTTGAGTGGGTGCCCCCCCTCCACACACTTCCGGCTCCAGGCACAGCTCGGGGAGCCCTTCCCTGCAGCCCTCAAGCCACGGTGCGGGCCTTCCGAAGGGCCAGGCTGGGCCGTGGTGAGGCCTCGGGGCGAGGTCCTGCTCTTGCCGTGGCCCCCCTCCGGGGAGGACAGAAGCGGTCCCCTCGAGCCAGGCGAAGGGCCTCTGGGTGGCCCGGACCCTGCTCTGTCCCCGCCAGAACATATGCATGTGTCATAGGCGGGGATATATGGGCGTGGCAGCACCCCAGGTGAATCCTCTCCCACTCTGCCTCCACGTCAGAAAATCCTGCCTGCACCTCTTGCTGTAGCCTGGGCCCCTTGTTCTGAGATATTTGCTTCTTCCTTGTCCCCAAGTTTCTTGCAGGCACACTGGAGAGGGAGAGGGGATCCTGCCTCTCCGAGCACGGGCTGCTGCTCTCTGCGTGTTTTGGAGCTGCCAGCAGGAGGAGGGTGCCGGCCCTGGGAGTGGCAGCGGGGGGGGGGGGGGGGGGGCGGACGCGGGTGGTCCAGGCTGCCCGGTCCCAGGAGGAGATCCTGGTGCCAGGGCTGTGATGCCCACAGGGCAGGAGGAGCTGCTGAAGGCAGAGAGAGGCCGGCGGCACTCTTCCGGGCCAGAAGGGCTGAGGTAGATTTGTAAGGGATGACGGTCACAGGGGAAGCACCCCCTATGGGAGCGTGGGGGGCACCTACATGCTGCCTATCTGCAGTCCCAGGCCAGGGGGCTTCGGGCCTCCTGTGGGGAGCAGGTCCCTGGCAGCTGCCCGTGGGGCCGTGCCCTGGCAGCACAGGGGCCGCTGGCACGCCTGGGACCCCCCACACCCTGAGGGCCGGCCTGAGCGCCTCAGTGAGCCGTGTTTCCTCCTGGGCCTGTGATGTCACCTGGGCTGGTGCTGTGGCCTCACAGGTGTGAGAGGCTGGGCGGCTGGGGGCTCTCTCTCGGAGTTCCCGTGGGAACCCAGTCCTGCTTTCTCCTTCCCCACCCCCCAAGGGAGAGGGGCAGGAACCGCTCCTGGCCCCATCCTGCCTGTCTGCCAGAGCCAGCCCTGCCACCTGGCCTCCTAGATCCACAAAGACGGGGTGAGGTCAGGGACAGCGTCGAACCGTCTCCTAAATGACCTTGAGTCACCCCCTGGCCTCGGTTTCCCCGCCCGGGGAGCCCGTGGTGGGCCAGGGGTGGGCGGCCTGCTCCGGCCTGGCCGTGGGGCAGTCGTGTGGAGGGGCTGGAACTGAGGCCCGGGGTGGAAGCAGGGTGGGGAAGGCCCTCCCTCGGGGCTGCTCTGCCAACCCCAACCTTCTCCCTCCTCCTCCCAAGGTAAGGACAGAGGCCTTGGCACGCAGGGGACACTCAGCCCGGGGTCCCCGGAGTTCTACAGCTTGTTTTGGGAGGCCCCTAGGGGGATGGTGACAGTCGCAGGGTCGGCCCAGAGGCCGAGGCCGGTGGGGAAGGAGTTAACGGTTCTCCGCTTCATTATTTTCCCCTGCTTTGGGGGTGACAGCATGGACGGGGCTTCAAGGCCATCCTTGGAGGCAGGCGGGTGGGGGGTGGGCATGGTGGTGGTAGGGGGCGGAGGTCGGAGAGACACCCCCGGACCTGGTAACGGTCCACAGAGGCACCCCGGGAACCAGACCTCATTCATGGTGTGCAGGTCTGGGGCGCAGGGAGCCCCGGTGTGCGCAGGCTCCGCCGGCGAACCTCTGGGGGCGCTGCGCTACGGGTGACCCAGAGCAGGGACCCTGGGGACCGCACGGGCACCCCGACACACGGGCACCCGCACCCCCAGACAGGCGGCCGGGAAGCCGGGGGGAAGCCGGGCGCGCAGCGGGCGCAGGCCGGCCAAGGACACACAGAGCCCCGGGGGGACCCCGCACCCCGCCCCGCGCCCCCGGGGGGGACCCCGCGCCCCCCGGTACCTTCATGTCGTTGACGATGGCCTGGAAGAGCCCGCCCAGGGCGCCGCACTCCTTCTCCGCCGTCTCCATGCTCGGGCCGGGCGGGGGCGCGGGCGGCGGAGCCGGGCGGGCGGCGGGCGGGGCGCTCCGGGCCGGGCTGCGCTCGGTCTCAGCGGCCGGCGGCGCGGCGCTCGGGGGCGGCGGGCGGCCGCGGGGCGGCGCGGGCCATGGCGGGCGGGCGGGCGGCCGGGGGCGCGGCGGCGGGCGGCTGGCGGCGCGGGCACTGAGGCGGCGGCCCCGGAGCCGCGGCGGCGCGGGCGTCACGTGGGCGCGGCGCGGGGGGCGGGGGCGGAGGGTCGCGGCGGGAGGGGCGGTGGGAACCGCCGGGCGGGCGCGGGCCCGTCCGCCGCCAGGCTCCGCGGCTTTGAAATCCGAGCCCGGCGCGGCCAGACTGGTCGGGCGAGCGGGCGGCGGCGGCGGCGCGGGCCGGGGGCGGCGCTGGGGCGGGGCCTGCCGGCTCCCCGCCCCCGGTAGGGGCTCCCGCCGCCTTTCCGCCGGGGTCTTCGGCCTGGGGTCCCCGGGCTCTCCGCAGACCCGCGGAGGGCCGGGGTCCCCTGCGAGCATCCCGGGGAGGGCCATGCCGCCGCCGCACCAGGTGTCCCCGGGGCCGCCTGCCCGGGGCGCTCCATCCCGGGCGCCGCGGCGTTCGCTCCCCCCTCCTGAAGGCTCCCTTTTCCAAGTGGTGCGGGTGCCAGCCTGATGGGGTGCCTGGCGTTTGGGAGGAGTGGTGACCTGGTCCTCGGGCAGCCTTTCTTGGGGTGGTGGGGACCATGTGGGGTCAGTAGGGCCTAAGTGGCATCCTGCCCCCTGCCCCCGGAGACGCCAGCAGTGACACCCACCCTCCCAGAGACGCTGCTCTGGGAGAAGCTCCTTCGCTCCCACCTGAGAGCCACTAAGAGCCCGCAGGCCAATCAGTGTTTTCCCCCAAGTGTGAGGTCAGGGGCCTACAGGTGCGGCTGGGCGAGGCTCATTTAGCCAAACCAAGGCACCTGGCCATGTCCTCCCTCCTTCCCACCTCCACGAGCTGCAGTTCTGCAGTGCGCATGTCCTTCCATTCTGGAACCCCGGAGGGGCGCCCGGTCCGTCTTTCCAGCGGGGACGTGTCCCCCTGTCCCTGGGGCAGTAGGGATGGGAGTCAGAGTGGGTGCCTGGGAGGGGTTTCCGGTTCCCAGCCCTTGGTGCTCTCCAGGAAGTAGGGGCAGTTCCTAGGTGTGAGCTGGGACCCCCTAGGGCCCACACCTGTCAAGGGAGCGTGTAGTAACCAGACTCCCCACGAAGCTGGCCCTCCCTGAGCCACCAGCAGACCTGTCTCCAGGATAGGTTGCAAGGTCCTGGGGCTGCTGCTGCCGCATCCCGCAGGGGCGGGCGCCCGTGGGAAGGAGCAGGCAGGCGCAGGTGAGGGTTTCCTGTCGTTTCTTTATTGGGGCGGGAATGCATCATTCACAGGGAGCTCTGTGCTGGCCCCTGTGTGCACACAGCCACGTATACACGCATTGCATGAGGCCAGGGCTCTCTCATTGGGCTGGGAGGTCAAGCTCTTTCCCAGAGGGCATTAGAAAGACCCATTCCAGAAGACAGGTGGCGGCTGCGGCTGCGGGCCCACTCTGTGGGAGGGAAGCCAGCTCGATCTGAATGCTGGACAGAGCTGGCGGCCAGGGGGCCGGGCGGTGCGAGCGGGGGTAGACAGAACAGCCTCCACCCCTGCTCCATCCCTGGGCTGTGGCAGGGCCAGCCTGCTCCGAGGCAGGCCCTCAGGCTGCGGGAAGGGGCCTGAAGATCCCAGTGCTCCACGGGACCACCCCGTGGGCCCTTCTCCAGGCCAGGCCTGTCAGAGGACCACCCTGCGGTCCAGGTGGTCCCCACGCCCACTCCGCTGGTGCCGCACTTCCAGGTGTTTCTTCTGGACCTTCTCGAAGTGCTGCAGCAGCTCCGCGTAGTCGATGCTGGCAGCGTCTGTCTTCTGCGACTTGGGGGCGGCCTTCAGACTGTCTCTGGGGAGAGGGAGCAAAGGGCGCGGGTCAACGTCCCGGCACACGTGCTGCTGCCGGAGGGGCGCAGCTCCAGATGCAGGCGGGCAGGGCCCCGGGGGGTGGACTCGATGGTGGGAGTTTGCTGCTTCGGGCCCAGCACCCCTTCCCCAACAGCCCCAAAGAGCTGAGGAGCCCCATGAGCGTCCCCTCCCCAGCAGTGGGAGAGACCAGTCAACACTGTGGCTTGGACATGGCCCCCAGCCTGTGGGCTGGCAACAGCGCCCAGAGCAGGCATCGCATTGGGAAGCATTTCCTGTTTACGAGTGGCTCCCTTTGGGGTGAAAGCCAGGGCCTGCAGCCAGCCAGGAAGCCAGCTGGGGCCTGGAACAGGGTCAGCGGTGGGGGAGGCGGCGGCCTGGCCCACTCTCTGGGGCAGGGCGAGGGCCGGGGCCGGCAGGGAGGGCTGAAGGGTCTCTACCGGGCCCTCAATAGACAGGACACGTTTTGAGTGTTGGGGCCCAGAAGCCCGCAGGCAGCCCCTGCCCCTCGGGAAGGAAAGCCGGTCTCGGGGCTGGGCATGCCCATGGCTCCTACCACTCTTGCTGCCACCACCCTCCCCAGCTGCTCGGTGTAGCAGCACGTGTGTGCACTGCACACTTCTTAGTACGGCATGCCTGGTCCTCCCTACGCTGTGCAAGCTAGTAGCCCTGCTGCCCCTTCAACTCAGTGTTCCGCTTGCCCTTGAGGACTAGCTCCCCTCAGGCCTGTCCCGTTCGCCATCCCTGCAGACCCGGCTCTCCTTCCTGGAGCCGCACCGGCCTGGGGGCAGATCTGTGCGCTGGCCTTTACTTTCCTTAAGCTCTTGAGGCCTGGGGGCCCTGGGAGCTCTAAGGAAGGGGTCTCGGAAGGCTCTGGGCTGTTGGTGACAATCCTTGGTCCTGTGAGTTCATGAAGAGAGCCCAATGGGGGTGACCGGGCAGCAGCAGGAGCTAGACAGATAGGACCCAATGGCAACACGACCACTTCCTAGCCATTGGATGTTGGGTGACTCAGTTTCCTTATCTGTGAAGGGGGATTTCTCCAGCCCCCGCCTAGGTGCCTGATGGGCAGCCATGGGCAGCCACCATGGCTCTGCCCTCGGGGGTGACCAGCCATGTCCTGGCAGCTGGAGGCACATGAGCTGCTCAGTTCATTTTGGGGGAAACACGATGGTGCTCCTCCACCCAAATGGACCCCTCGGCAGTGAGCTTGTCTCCCGGCAAGGTACAGGCGCCCAATGGTCTGAGCCTGAACGGCACCGCGGACCCTCCCCCGGGCTGCTGGGCCAGGGCCGGCAGCATGAACCCTCCCATGGTCGGCCGCCTGGAGCCTGGAGGTGGCCCTGCACGCCCTCAGCCTGCTCCCCCCTGCTTTCTTGTGAAGACGCATCACCTGCAGACACCTGGGCCTCAGGCCTTGCCTCCTGAGCTGCTTGCTGAACATCATTCAACAAAGATCAGAGAGGGGCTGCTCTAGGGGCCGGATTGCAGGCAGGGACCGCCTGGCACAGTCACTCTATGGCACAGGTGCCACTGTCCCGAGAGAGAAACCTGGTTCCTGAGGAGGCTGAGACGTCCTGGAGCTCGGACCTCTCACCTCAGGAGGTGGCCGGAAGCTACCCCAACCCAGGCTGTAAACATGAGGCTGGAGGTGACCCTGAAGCGTGCCATTTGACGCTGGGGTTCCATGGGTCTGTATGCTGCTCCCTCCACACTCCTTGTGAGCCATCAGGCCCCAGGCGTGAGAGGAGGGGTTTCCATGGAGATGCCAGCAGTGAGTGGCAAACCCAGGGTGATATGCAAAGACGTGGCCAGGGTAGGGGTGGGGGTCGGGAGGAGTGAGCTGTACCTTGCTCTCTGAGCAATTAGTCTTGTCCCCGGTGACTCAGCCTCCCTGCGGGGAGACCCTTCCTGGATTGAGGTCATGGGCGCAGGGAGGGGTATGTCCCATGGGCACCGCCACCACGGGGCCTCACACGGGTCCTTCATGTTTGCAACCCTCAGGCAGCGATGCCTGGAGGACACGCCAGCAGCACGAAGCTGGGCTCCCCCTCACCCCCCCACCCCCCGCACCTGTCACCGGGCTACCGTGGTGAGCGTCACAGCGTTCCTCCAGCCCCACCGGGGAGATGTCTTTGGGGAGTGGCTGGGAAGCCTGAGGGGGTCCCAGTATCCCTTAGCCCTGTGGGCGCCTTGAGCGCACAGAATGAGGGAGGGCGGGGGCCCAGAAGCTCCCTCAGCTGTTCCCCGCTTGCAGGCCTGTCAGGCACCTGACGCTGTCCTCCAGCTGCCTGTCCCTCCCAGACTGTCCTCTCCAGAGGGTGCGCTGTCCCTCTGTGCCCACCCTGCAATCTGACCCCTCCCCTCCCAGCTGTTCCCGAGGCCCCTGCTCACCTCCTGCTCCCTGCCTGTCCGCCTGGTCCTTGCTAAGAATGGCTGGGAACACAGAGCTCTGAAGACCGGGCACCGCCTCAAGCACCCAGTTAGTCCCAGCGCTCATTTCCCCGTGAAGAGACCCAGAGCAAGTGTGGTCTTGCCTGAGGTCAGAGCTGGGCCAGGTCTCTATCTAGGCCTGGGGCTGTCCCCTGACCGACCATGGGAGACTCTGAAGAACGCTCGTTTCCCTAGCGGCCCTGTGCAGACTCGCTCTACCCTGGCTTGGGGCGCGCAGGGGGAGGGGGGGGGGTCCCTCTATTCTGAGATCAGGAGAGCAGTGGGTAGCGCTCGGAGAAGGGTATGGCCCTCCACAGCACAGGGTCCCCAGCAAGGAAGGCTGGTTCCCGAGAGGAAGGCACCAGAGTTCACAGGCAGCAGCCTGTCAGCAGCCTCCCCTCCCACAGCACCCCTTCCTCAGCGCTTGCCAGGGCAACCCTCACACCCCCAGGGCTTGGAAAGGCCAGTGCAGAGGAGGCCAGCGAAGCAGCGTGGCGTCAGGGCCTCTCTCCCCGAATGCAAACCCAACTCCTCAGCTGCTCCCTGCTCCCCTGGGGATTCCCTGTGGCACCAAGAGCAGCAGGACAGTGCCAGCACTGCCGCCCTGGAGTGCTGCTGCTGGCGAGAGGGTCAGGAGCTGGGCCTCGGTCCAGAGACCACTCTTGCTGAGGGCTCAAGCCCCTCCCGCTGGCCCAGGGCAGACCAGCAGTCAGGTGCCCACACCAGCCTGTGGCGAGGCCAGGCCAGTGGGAGGGGTGGTGGGCTGAGCCCGAAAGGGGCTGAGTGCTGGGCAATGCATCCCATGGCACAGGCGCCAGTGCATCCAGTGGCGGAGGCGCGAGGCCCTTCCATGAGCGAGACGCCAGGCCTGCAGAGCGGCCTGAACAGCCTGGGAGGGAATTCTAGACACACAGGGCATCTGATGCAAGCTGGGCGCGCTCCATTCAGCGTAAATCTTCTCAGTGGCTCTGCCTGTTTCCATGGCGACCTGACAAGTGAAATTTTCCATCTCGGATGCCAAATGCCTGTGGATGAGGCGAAGCCTCCAAGGGTTACCAAATATAGACAAGGCCCAACAGGCTCCAGGGGCCAGGCCAGCCAGTGTGTTCGGGTGGGAGCCTCGACCCCCCAGGGGCCGCAGCCTCCTGCCACAGCTGCCCACGCTGGGCCTCTCGGCAAAGGTGCCTCTACCTGTTCTTCCCGTGGGCAGCACCGCGCGGTGCAGCCTCAGGGGCGCGCTACCTCTGACCCTCACGGTAATCCCGCTTCTTAGAGAAGGTCTCCCTACCACCTCCTCCCAGAATCCCCAGCCTGGTGTTCTGATATGGAAATGAGAGGCCCACGGGCAAGTGGCTGTGGGTGGACAGGGTCCGAGGTGACAGAGAGTGTGATGCCCAGGCAAGGAGACACTCGGCAGCCCCCTTAGGCACAGCGTTCTCACCAGGCCCCTCGGGCCCTGCCCTTGCTGGGTGGCGATGCCTCCCTCCATGGAGGCAGCGGGCGCAGGCCCTGCCCGCACTCACTCGGTCTGCAGCAGCTCGGGGTTGGGCACGCACTGGAGCCGGTGGGAGAGCAGCTGGAAGGCACTGCTCTGGGGCAGCAGCATGAGCAGGCCGTAGAGGGCCTTGATCAGGTATGGGTTGTTCTTCACGTCCAGCAGTTGCAGGCGCAGATCTGCAGGAGGGCAGAGGTCAGAGGTTAAGAGCCTAGTCAGGACAGGGCCAGCCAGGGGGCCGTGGCAGAGAACTGGGCTCAACAGCCAAGTACCACTCCGGCCCCCATCCATTAGCGCTAGCTGTCCCTTTGACCTCATCATCCTCTCTTCCTACTCAACAGCCAACCTGCCCTGGGCTGTCCCTGCCCCATGCTCCCTGCCTCCCCGGTAAGGAGGGGCGTGGGCCTTCTGCCGGCAGGTCCCCGTCCGTGCCACACGAGCTGTGAATAGGTGGGCCGGAGAGGCTGGGTTAGGACCGCTGAGGGAGGGCAAGACGGAAAGCGCGTTCGTGTGGGGCTGGAACACAGCCCACGTGTGTCTGGTAGGGGCTTTAGAATCCACCTCAGGCCCCAGTCCTGCCACCACCCCGCCGGGTGGGACGAGACACACCCTGGCCCTGCCCAGCAGGCGTCCCAATGACACAGGCCCAGCCTCCTCTCCTCCGAGCCCCTCTCAGAGGCACTGGCTCTCCCCTCTCGTGTCTCTAGGCCCGGCTGGGTGCCCGCTGCGGAGGGTGACACTCCTGGAGAGGCCACGCCACAGCGCAGCTGTGCAGCATCTGGGCTGACGCTGAGCAGGGAGCAGCCAGGCCCCGGGCTGGGAAAGCTGGGGAGCAGGGCCTCCGCGGCCCTCCCCTCCCGAGGTGGCGGGGCCACCAGGGGAGACCTGGGCGATCAGCCCCGCGCCTTGCAACTCCACAGAAGCGTGGGCCTATTCGGGTCCAAAACCCCTGGGGCCTGGGGAGCTGGGTCTAGGCATCCTGGTTAGAACGGGTGCTCGGAGGCACCAGGGTGCATCTGCTGAGGTCGCCTTGGGCCTGGAGAGAAGCTGCCGCTTTTTAGGGTCCCGGGTGGACCTGAGCGAAGGGAGCATGTGCCTGGCCGCCTGGGAGGCCCTCAGGAAAGTGAGATCAGCTCGGGACCACGGGGAGCAGGGTCTCCCCCCCGCTCAGGCATTGGGCAGCATGTGACTGGCTGTTGGGACAAGCTGCCTTCTGTTTGGATGGAGGTAAAGGGTGGTGCCTTCAGCCCCTGTGTCTGCCTTTGGCTCCAGGGTGAAGGCTGATGGCCTAGCCCAGCAGTCGGCAAACTCATTAGTCAACAGAGCCGCAGTGTGCCCACCCCAGGCCTAGTCTGACAGGTCACAGGCGCTGCCCGAGAGCAGAAGGCCTGGGTGGCTGGCTGGCTTCTCACTGCGCTGAAAGCACATGAGTTTCATGCAGTCACCGTGTCTGAGGCGCCAGGAGCTGTGTGCGCCACAGCCAGCTGCTGCTTTTGCACATTCAGCCTGGGTGTTACGATCAGGCACTCCCACCCATCGGCTCCCAGCAAATGCCAACTCTGCTTTGCGGAGAGAGGAGTGTGTGGCGCTTGGGCACACGGGAGCGCCTGCAGGTGGGCCAAGGGTCCCCGCAGCTTCCGAGAGCCAGGGCAGAGAGGGGGTGCTTGGGGGAGGGGCCAGCACGGCGCTGGGACAGCTGCCCACCTTCAGTGTGGATTCTAAAGCCCCTACCAGACACATGTGGGGTGTCCACAAGACCCCCCTCAGGCACACAGGCAGGGTCTGATGTCACATGCCCCAGCCCTGCTACGTCTGGTCTCCTCAGACCTGATCTCCTCCCCAGTCTTACGTTCCTGACATTCCAGAGTATCCCTGGGGTGACTGCCCTCCTCCCTCCCTCCCCCTCCTTCTTCTGAGTGTGGCTTCACCCCCGCCTCACTCCAGCCAGCCAGAGGCCAGAGGCCAGAGGCAGGGCCTTACATGTGAAGATGGGGCACTCGATGAGCTGAACCAGCTTGTCCACCTCCGTGAGGAAGTCCACCGTGACCTCCAGGTCCCCGCTGGGTGGGCAGTCAAGGAAATCTTCCCCCGGGGCCAGGACAGCCTGCCTCAGGGAGGGGCCTGGGGGGAGGGGCGGCAGCTGGAGAGCTGAGACCCGAGGGCCTGACCCAGTGGCTCAGAGCGACCCTCCTCCCTCGGTCCGGCTCCCGAGGCACCCACCGAGCCTGCTTCTGCCTAAGCTGGATTCCGCATGCGAAGGGCATTCGTCTATCCCTCTGCCTTTGTGTCCCTCTAAATGAGGTACCCCAGCTCTGCGCCGGCAGCTCCCTCCCCTGCGATCTGGGCTCTGAAAGGCTCTCACTTATCGCGGCCCTGCAGCCCGTGGGGAGGGCCGGGCAGGAAGGGCCGGCTCCCGCCTGAGTGGATGCCGCCAGCCCAGCCAAGGTCAGGGCTGCGGCAGGTGTGGCCCGTGGTCCCTTGGTCACCGATGACCGAGAGAAGCAAACTGAGGGTGTGGAAGGGGAGCAGCACCTGCGGGAGCCAGGCGAGGCCATGGCTGACCCTTAAAGCCCACCCCTGGGGGGTTTCCCTCCTCTGAGGCCTCCCGGCCAGCCCGCTCTGCCCGCTGGGTCACCGCCGAGCCCTGGCTCTGGCTTTGTGGCCCCTGAAGGTACCTAAACAGCAGCAACACCACTAACTCTCACCAGGCTCGTGTCTCTCCCCCCCCCCCCCAGCCCGGCCTTGTCTCCCTCCTGCCCCAGCAGAGGTGCCCCTGCTCGCTCCCTGGCACCCACACCCGGATTGCCCGCTCAGCCCTGACCCCCAGTCTACGCGGTTTCTCCAGGGCCAGCTCTCCCCGACGAGGGCCCAGGTGACCGTTGGCTGCCTACAAGCAAACACATCCCTCAAGGCACCCGCTGGGTCCTGATGTCACAGGCCATGGCAGCGGGCCCACCCCTCCAACGGCTGGACCGGGAGAACCCTGACAGCGAAGGATACAACTTCTGGATGAGGTCGTAGGCGTGCCGGTAGTTCTGGGTGAGGAAGCAGAGGGACACGGTGGTGACGGGGTTGTGGCACCAGGAGCGGTACAGGCAGCAGAACAGGTCCTGGCTCTCCTGGGGGAGGTGTGCGCAGTGAGAGGGGGCTCTCCTCCCCCCCCCCCCCCCCCGCTCCTCCCACCCGGGATCCATGCGTGGGCCTGCGCGGGAAGGGCCCCTGTGGGGAGCCGGGAGCCAGCTGTTTGGCAGCCCCGCTGGGAACGAGCTGTCACAAAGGAAACGCTGACGGTTCCTCCTGGATCCTGTCATTACTCCGGGCCCCGCAGAGCCACGTGGTGGTGACGGCCTGGTGGGGGGAGCCTGCCTTCCGTGCTGGTATCTCTGCTCTCGGCAAGTCACAGGGACTGCCCCCTCCAGGACCCTGGGTCCGAGCGCGTGGGGCTGGGAGGGCGGTGCGGGAGGCGGTTCCCCGCAGCTCCACGCCTCGTCCTCACACAGCACATCTCCCCCCTCTCTGTGGCCCACTTTGCGCTCGGGAACCAGCCGAGCTGGGGGGGAGCCCCGGCCCTGAGGAAAATTCTTAAGGCCTCTGCGAACGTCTGAGAGGAACCACAGGAAGGAGGCAGGGGTGTGGCCTGGATTGTGCCAAGCCTCTTGGCCCCAGATGCCCTCAGACCAGGCCTGGCTGTCCTGGAGGCACCCTGAGAGGGGCGGATGCAGGGGCTGAGCTGGGAAGGAGGGCGTGGGGGTGGTGCCACAGCCCAGATAGGGGAACGAGCCCCCTGGAGGCCCATCCCCGGGGGAGCATGACCTTGGCCACGGCCCCCCAGCGCAGGACGGGAGGATGGAGAGTGCCTGCCTGCTGTCTCATAAGCCCTGGGGAGTCCTCACCCAAAGCCTGGCACAGGCAGCCCTGATTCCCTGGCTTCCGACAGGGTCTAGCTGTTGGGGAACAGGGCCAGGGCCGAGGAGGAGGGCAACGAGAGCAGTGACCCCTGACCCTGGCAGGGTGACAGCCTCAGGCCTGGCCCTGACAGGGAGGTGGCATCAGAGGGCATCCACCCATTGGGTCCCCCACATGGGCCCAGAACTGTGTGCCAGGGGGCAGCGCCAGGGTGGGAGTGGGGTGTCAATGGAGAAAAGGCACTGCCTCTGATGGGTCAGGGAGGGTGCGCGGACCCGAGTGAGCACACGGTCTCCTTGAGAGGCCTGCACACGCTGCTCAGGAACCAGCTGGGAGACTCATTCCCACGGTACCGCTTCCGGTAACAACCCAGGGGCGTCCGGATGTCACCCCGGTCCAGGGAAACCTCCGATGTCACCCCGATTCCCTCCCAGAGGCCTCGGGGGCGGAGGGTGGGCTGGCAGGACGGGTGCCGCGTGCTGCGTGCACACAGGTCTCCCCGGCCGGAGCCCGCGGGCGCAGTACCAGCGTCCTCAGGTCCTTGAGCTGGTTCCTCAGCTGGAAGAGCTCGGTGGAGGTGAGCAGGATGGTGTTGAGGGTGTGGACCATGGTCGAGGCGAACTTGAGGTCCTCTTCTCGAAGCAGGATGTCCGCCATCGAGTGGAAGATGTTCTCCGCGTTCAGCAGGAGGCACAGCTGCCTGGAGAGCGGGCGGAGCAAAGGTTACGGCAACCCCCGGGCCCCACTCCGGACCCCTCCCCGGTCTCTGAGTCCCAAGGACACCTGCTCCTCCTGGGGCCGGCGTGGGGGCCGTGGGGGGACACTGGGCACCGTTCGCAGCGGGCCTGCTCCTCGCCTCCCAAAACCACTCCCCCTGGCCAGCAGCTCTGGAGCCCCAGACGCTTCGTCCCTGACTCTGCCCCAGGAAGACGGTTCTCCGAGAGCGGCAAGCCCTGGCTCTCACCCCACACACGGCGCTCTCGGCCGCCCAGCTCTACAGGTTCAGCACGTGCCTGTCACCGTGTCCCGTCCCCCGCCGCTGCCCCAGAGCCCGAGTCGGGAACTTGCTTGTGCGGTTCTCCCCGCAACCCGCCTGGAGGGGCTGCAGGCAGCCGGGCTCAGGCGGCACCTGTGGGATGAGTGAACCTGCGGACACTCCGAGTCTCATCTTTGCTGGCACAGGGCGGCGAGGTGACTTGACCGAGGTCATGGGGTCAGTTAGGGCTCCTTCTTTCCACCGTCTCTTCTCTAGGGAGAATCTTGGGGGATAAGGCTTGGCCGTGGTGGAAAGGAGTCCCGTTTTACAAACAGAGAACCCAGGGAATAAAGAAAAAGTTTTTCCAGGGTCCCTGGGCCAGGCGGTTGTGAGGATGGGCTTGGAGGAAGCCTGTCGACCCCCCGAGTTTGTCCCTCTGCCCACGGGGGCCTGGCTGGAGGGGGTGGCGGCCCCCGGGAGCCCAGGCCTCCTGAGAAGGGAGTGCTGCACCGAGTGGGCAAGTGGTTGGTGAGGAGGGTGGGTGCCTCTCTCTGACTCCTATTCCCTGCTCCAGGGAAGCCCGCAGACCATGCCTGGGGCTGGTGGGGACGGGTCTGAGGCCTGAAACACGTCCATCCCAGGTCACTGACCTCGCAGTAAATGCAGCACCGGGCCTGGCCTCCTGCTTTCCTCCACCAGTAAATACCGATCATGCCGGGAAGATCCATCCCCCCCCCCCCCCCCCCAATCCCAAGCCACGAAGTACAAACAGTGGGTGGGCAGGCTCCACCCAGCCTAGGCCCAGCAGAACCAGCAGACTCGGGCGAGAAACCACCAGAGACACGGAAACAGCGCTGTTGAGGGGATGGGTGGAGCTCTGCCATCACCTGGGGCCCCCCAGCCTGCCTGGGATGTGAGGTGTGGGGGGGCGCAGAGGTCCCAGAACTTGGTGCTCCTGCCCAGCCGTGTGACCCAACGACTATGTGACAATGTCTTTACGTCCCACCTGGCGACACTGCCCGCCTGTGCAATGGGGGCTGCTCAGAGCGATGGCTTGTGTGGGGTGCACAGCCCACGGCGAACGAGGCCCCTGGTTGGGTAACACAAGTGGGGGTAACAGCCAGCTCACAGGAGAAAGCCTGGCTCTTAGGCAGAGAGCAGCCTCCTGTCCCCTCTGATCCTCCCAGCCCTACAGGAGCCCCGTCTCTAGGGCCATGGGAGAGAAATGTTCCAGAAGGGCAGGCCGGGGAGGAAGGGCAGCGCTCTGACAAATGCTCACAAATGCCCGTCGCCTGCAGCTGCTGCCGTCTCCATGACAGAGGCCGGCAGCTGAGCCCGCTGCCAGGCAGCGCCTCCAGGGAGCGCAGGCCGGCGGGGACGGCGGGGAGGGTGCGGAGGGACAGGCAGGGGGGGGGTGGCCGTGGGGAGAAGAGGGCACCCAGGCTCCTGGTCTCCCTAAGACCTGGGGAACGCAGGTGGAGCTACAGAAAGCCCAGGATGGCAGAGTTTTCTGCAAACACTCTCCTCTGGCCACGGTGACCCCATGCTCCGCTGGTTCTGCCACCTCTCTGGTGGCCGACCCCCAGTGCCGAGCAGCTCTCCGGCTCGTTCTCCAGTCTGTCTCTGGCGGTGGCATCTGGTCCACGATTATTCTCAAAGAGGCCTATAGTTCAGGGGCTGCCGCATGTGCCTCTGAACCCCCACTGAGCTCGGGAGGGGGCGGCCCCTTGCCTGGGGGACAGCCCTGCATGGCATTTCAAACTTGGCAGGGCCACAGCGTAACTCTTGGCCCCCCAACTGTCCCCATCTCAGGAAATGGCGTCACTGCCCACCCATCTGGCTGCAGCCCAAACCAGGGAGTCATCCTTGATCCCCTGGGCCTGTGTCAACCATCCAGCCCTGGTGCCTGGTCCACTCCAAGGCCGGCTCCTGACTGGCCTCCCTGCCTCTCTCGCTACAGAATTCACCCTCCGTGCACCAGCGGGGGTCCTTAAAAGGTGTCCATCAGAACATGGCACTGCCAGTGGCTTCCTGCTGGACCCAAATAAAACCCAGCCCCTCACCCTGGCTCCAGGATCCAGGCACCACGTGTACTCTCTGGTCAGTTCCTCTCCAACCTCGGTCCTCACACGTGCTCCCTCCCTCACGATGCCCTGCCCTCTGCCTTCTGCCCTGGGCCGGAGAACGCTGCTCAGGGACTGGCTCCTTCCAGCCATCCAGGTCTCAGCTCCAAGGGGGTCCCATTTCTTTCCAAGCGATTCTCGTCACCCAGCTCATTGGGGGATGGACTTGTTCACTGGGCCCCTGGCTGGGTCTCCCACCAGAATTTGTCTGGGTCCTCCAGGCACTCAATAATCACTGTTTTTTTTGTTGTTGTTGTTGTTGTTTTTTTGTGAATCCTCACCTGAGGATACTTTTCCATTGATTTTTAGAGAGAGTGGAAGAGAGAGACAGAAACATCGATGCGACAGAAACACATGGATTGGTTGCCTCCTGTTCACGCCAACCAGGCTGGGGAGGAGCCTGCAACCAAGGTGCATGCCCTTGACCAGAATCGAACCCGGGACCCTTTGGTCCATGGGCTGGCACTCTATCTACTGAACCAAACCGGTGAGGGCTCAATACTCAGAACTGAGTGTGCCTGTGCGGAGGGGCTGACGCTGAAGAAAGGCTTATGCTGACGGACAGGGCTGTCTGCAGGCACCTGTGCTGAGCCCAGCCGGCCCCCTGCACATCACTGTGCGTCCTGGTCTGCAGCACACAGCTGCCGGGAGGTCCCACCTTCACCCCTGCCACCCGGGGCCTGGCTGCCCTCTGACCAGGTCTTCACACAACCCTGGGCCCGGGGCACTATACACCCCTCCTCCACAGAGGCCCCGGCTCCAGCCACACCACCGACCAGGGAGCAGGAAGGGCGGATTCCACTCAGAAGAACCGACTTCCAGGGCGTGAGTGAGCTCCTGCTTACCGCTCTGCCTCCTCGGTGCCTGTTATGAGCGGGCACTGGGGGCCGCCCGCCCGGTGGGGCTGGCAGATGGCTGCCCCGCAGGGCTGCTGCGTCATCACTTCTCCGCCGAGCCCAGCCTGGCCGAGCTGCCTGCCTGGCTCTCGGGCACAGCTCCGTAACGGAGCGCAGCTTGTGAGCATTAAACATTTGCCTGGACTTTTAATGCCCACATGCAAGTGCTACTCGTGAGACAATGGTTTAGGACAGCGGTCGCCAGCCTTTCGGGCCTCTTGGACCACCGGTTGGTTTAGAAAATGCTTGGGGACCAGACACAGGTGGGAGGGAACCGGGACAGGATCTCACACCCGCCTTAGCGCTGGACTGGGCAGGGGTCCACACGGGAGCCCTGACATTCTGATGGGGTCCCCGGGTCGGGGTCCTGCCTTCCTCTCCTCAGGCCTCCTGCTACCCGCCTGGGCAGCCACCGGCTACTTCCAGGTCTGCGTTCTCTGTGGTCCCTCTGTCATATGCCAGGGCCTCTCTGAGGAGCCACCTGTCTTCAGCCTGCTTTGGAGCCCCAGGACACAAGGGAGGGAGCCCCGCTTTCCCCGGTGGGCTGCTGCGTCCGGGGGGGGCGGGGGCGGTCTCAGAGGGGAAGGCCCTCTGCAGCCTGCCTGCTGGGAGTGCCGCACCCGCCACGGCCCCTTCAACATGAACACTGGCCGAGCACCTGCTGTGCCGCAGACGCTGGCCCCGAGGGGCCACCAGCCTCAGTGCTGGCCACGGTGGAAGGTGCTCGCCGAGCCCCCCTGCCGCCACCCACAGCCGCGGCTTTAGGTGACATGTGGGCCAGACTGGGGGGAAGGAGGAGGGTGACAGCCGGCTCCAGCCTGAGGCCTTGCCCTGAGGCCAGGTGGCCTCGACTGGGCGGGAGGCGGCCTGCCGTGAGGCAGTAGCTGCTGCAAGTCTCCTGGGCACAGGCTGGTCCCCGCCAGGCCAATGGGAGCCCTGGCTGAGTGGACAGGAGGAGGTGCCGCTCTCCGGGGTGCAAGGTGGGGAGCTGCTTCTGCCGCCAGATGCCTCCCCTGCCCTGGTCAGCACCTGCTGTGCAGGCTCAGCTGTGGGCCAGGCGGGGGCCTGAGGGGCAGGGGAGCACTGGAGGCTGTCTAGGTAGCGGGTGGCGGAAGGGGCAGTGTGAGTAAGGACAGGACAGACACAGGCAGGGGGTTAAGGGGTTGAGGGGGTGGTACAGAGTGGGGACAGCTGGGGCCCTGGCAGGACCAGACTCACTGCAAGAGCAGGGCCCCACAGTGGGGGGCGGGGGAGGGGGCTGGAGGCCTGAGCTTGGTGCCCTCCGTGGAGGAAGCATTCTGGCTCCCCGCCGGGTGGGCTCTGGGGAATCCGGACCCTGCCATGTGCTTCGGAGATGATGTAAGACTTCTTTCCATGACCCCGCCTCCCCATGCCCCTCGGAAACTGGACCAGCAAGGTCACCACGGCCAGAAACAGCCCCTCACCCTCACGTCGGCAGGCCCTCCCTGCGGTCCCTGGCCTCTCTCAGCTCCCTCACCAAGTAAGGGCATGTGGACGCCGCCTGTCCTGACGCCGCGCCAGAGCCGGGGGCGGGCTGGGGGAGTGAGCTGCTGCCCTCTCTCCCACCCCGTCCTGCCGTGGGCCTGGCCTTTTTAAGAGACAAAAGGCGGCCCCTGACCCATGGCAGGGATCCTGGACAGGGACGGGGGAAGGGCACCGATGACTACAGAGGAGGGGAAACAGA